TGGGGATAGGTCTGACGTTATTCTGATGTTCCTCCCTCTGTACGTAAGGAATCTCTTCCCCCTAACTGCCCTTAAGATGATTTCCTTGGTTCTAAGATTTGCAAGTTTTACTCTTACATGCTGGGGTGTTGGCCTGTTTTCCTTGATCTTGGGAGGGGTCCTCTCTGCCTCTAGGACTCGAATGTTTGTTTCATTCCCCAGATTACAGAAGTTCTCAGCTACAATTTGCTCATATATATCTTCTTGCCCTCTCTTTCTCTCCACCCCCTCAGGGATTCCAATAATTCTGACACTGGAATGTTTCATGGTGTCACTTATTTCTGATTCTATTTTCATGGATTCTGACTTGTTTTTTCCCTGGCCTCCTCTTTTCCCTTTTTGTCTATTAAATGGTCTTCTAGGTCACTAATTCGTTCTTCTGCCTCACTTACCCTACCTGTTAGACTATCTAGATTAGATTGGATCTCATTGATAGCATTTTTAAGTTCTGCCAATTCAGCTTTCATTTCTGCCCTTAGAGACTCTATGTTGTCATTAATTGATTTCTCTGTTCTAGTTATTGTCTTCACAATTGCTAGCCTAAATTCCGTCTCCAACATCTTGGTTATATTTGAATCCATTTGTAAGTCTGTGGCATAAGTCAATAGTCTCTGAGTCTTTCCTATTTTGGGGTTTCCTCCTCCTAGTCATTCTGTTGAGGGGTGGTTGAGGGAATGTATAGAGTCCAAATTATTGACCACAAACCAAGCAAGATGTACCTGTTTTATAGGGACCTTAGGGTTGATGTCCTCTTGTTTTCCCAGCCTGTCTTCTGGTGAAGGGGCCTGCCGCATTGTTACTCAGGCTACCCTGTTTGGGCAGAGTTGCCCTGCCCTTTGTGGCGGGGGATGGGCTCAGTGAAAACCGGTTTTTTGGGGCTTTTGTTCTCTGGTGGCTTTCCCTGGTGGCTTTCCACTGTCTCTTCCAAGAGTCAGAGCAGAGGAGACCATTTTCAACCCTCTGCCTCAGAGCAGAGAAATCACAGTTTGTTCTTTAGTGAGCTCTCCAGGCCACACTGTCTCCATTTCTGTCTGTGCTGCTATAAACTGCAGCGTCCTGAGTTGTGCGCCTCTCAGCAGTGCTCCCAGTCCTTGCCTTCCAGGTTGGGGCACGTCTCTGCCCTTTGTGCTTCTAAAACCGCCAGCCGCCCCCAGCTCGCACGTATGGCCCTGCTGCTCGTTTCATTCTGGGCTGCCCTAAAGTCCCTTTCCCCATTGCTACCGGTCTACAAGTCTGTGCCTGGTCCCCAGCACGGGAGGCTATCGCTCACAGGCAGTGTAGGATCCCGACGGCTCAGCTCCCTCACCCTCCCATTTAACCTTCAATATCTGCCCATGGAATCACGGCTCCCCACTTCGTACCAAGAAACCCACCACCTGTGATATTGTGTTCGTAGAGATCCAGATCTATCTTCTTTCTTACATCTCAGGCTGATTTCATGTGTGTTCAGAGTGGTCTGGCAGATATCCAGCTCAATTCTGGGGACCGGTTGGAATAGGTTCCCTACTCCTCCGCCATCTTCCCCCCACAATCCTTGTTTTTCTTTTTTAAGGCTGTTTTGACCATTCCGGGTCTCTTGTGGTTCCATATAAATTTTGCTATTATTTGTTCTAGTTCTGAAAAGGAGAAACGGCATTCTTTTGTTTTTATTTTCTTGATTATTTATTTGAAAGAGAGAGCGAGTGAGCACAAGTCGGGGAGTTGTATAGGGAGAGGGAGAAGCAGACTCCCTGCTGAGCATGGAGCCTGATGCAGGGCTCCATCCCAGGACCCTAAGATCACCAGCTGAGCCAAAGGCAGGTATTTGACTGAGCCACCCAGGCACCCCTATTTTATTTATTTACTTGAGAGAGAGAGAGAGTACAAATGGGGGTAAGAGCAGAGGGAGAGGAACAAGCAGACTCTGTGCTGAGTGGAGAGCCCAATGCAGGGCTCAATCCCACGACCCTGAGATCATGACCTGAGCTGAAACCAAGAGTCAGACACCCAACCTCCTAAGCCACCCAGGTGTCCTTGAAAGGTGGCATTCTTATGGACCTTGAAACTAAGCTTTTTATATTTAAGGAAGCTATTGCTTTTGTGCAGAAATTGCTGTTAAGCATTCACATTTTCAAATTCAAAAAGATTGAGGTAAAATACAACTGTGTACTGAAGGAGCATTGCTTGTAATACACAGCTTCAATGCACACACATTCAAAAGCTACCATTTAATCCTATTTTGTGGCATGTACTATGAACTCGGCAGAAAATTCAACCAAACATAAATACAAATAATTTGTATCCTGTTATTTCTGATAAAAAGTTATGAATACATAAGCTTTCACACTCACATGCAAACTCATACTATACCAGAAAAAAATCTGACATATTTACTGCTTAAAAATAAACCTGATTTCCCTTTGAGGTAGAAGCTAATTCCCATTTCTGAATGTTCTGAAAGCCACCCACAAAGGAAATACTCCCAGTGTTCTAGGTTTCATTATGATATCCCTAAATAAAGCAAAGTTAATTAAGTCATAGTAGTACTGCAGGTATAATATTGAGGTTATTAACCTGGTTTCAAATCTATGTACCTGAAGGATCATCCCGATATAGTGATAAATATACTGATTTATGTAAATCTGTAATTTTAATATTTCCATCAATATTGAAAAAAATCTGTTCCCTAGTGAAAAAAGTACTAGTTTTTAGCTTTGAGACAAATGAACAATAAGGTAATATTGGACTGAACATTGGTAAAAATCAAATCAATACTGAAAATAAGAAAAGAGCATGTGAAAGCTAAGTTCCCACCTTATAGATAAAATCAAGAAGGTGATTTTTTTTTTTTTAAGATTTTATTTATTTATTTGAGAGAGAGAGAATGAGAGAGAGCACATGAGAGGGGGGAGGGTCAGAGGGAGAAGCAGACTCCCTGCCAAGCAGGGAGCCCGATGCGGGACTCAATCCAGGGACTCCAGGATCATGACCTGAGCCGAAGGCAGTCGCTTAACCAACTGAGCCACCCAGGCGCCCAAGAAGGTGATATTTTTAAAATCATCTCAATTATGAAAATAATAAAATTTTGTTTCTGCTCTGGTTTAATATTTTTGGTTTCTTATCAAAGTTACCTACATTCCTTGTATCATTATTTGACATTCATCATTTTTTTCCATTATAATGCTGCTAAATAGGTTTCTACTTTTTTTTAATTTAAATATCACATTTTATCTCATTTTCAGATGTGGACAAGGATGGAAAGGAAATCGATGCCACATTAAGGTTAACACTTCCCCTGAAGATTTCACATACACTCAGAATAGTAGGTGACATTGTGACTAATTGTTTAAATTTGGAGTTTTAAATGTTTTTCACTGCATATTCATCTTTTTAATTGGTTTGAAATTCCAGATATATGGGCTCTCCTGTGCATTGGACTAGCTTTCCTGATGATTCATACTATAATCGCAGTTGTGTGTTTTCTTGCAAACAGAAAAGTACCAGTCAGGTAAGTGATGTCTTTGATTGCTGAATAAAATATACCGTGGCAGAACAATTTTCTGAAACATTTCATTTGCTCGATTTTTCTTTCACTGCATTTACATGCAGGTAACTGTAGTGTTTCTGCTTTGTGGATTTATTTCTTTCTGGGCAGAATATAGGAGCTACTTAACAATAATCATTCTTTTTTCAGTAAAAAGCCTTAAGTTTACTTTTCACATTATGTTAAAAGCAGTTTTGATGACAAAAAGAAAGGGAACGTGGCATTCTCCACAGATTAAAAGACATAAGGGGATGAGTGTCCCACGTGTTGGTGGTGTCTGGGGAAGGCAACAGAACTGCAAAAGAAATGCTTTCTTGGCCTTCCAAGTGAACTCTAAACATCAGTGTTTCAGGTCAAGACTCCCAGGTTCTAGGTGATATACAGAACAGAGACCAGGAGCTGCTGTACCCAAAGGAACTCATACAAAACTAAGAAGACCCCAATTACTGGAGGGAGAGAGTCTGGTAGGATAGTGGAGTAGGAGGATCCCAAGATCACCTCCTCCCATGGATACACCTAGATAACAGCCACATCAGGGCAACTAACCCAGAAAATGACCCAAAGACTGGCAGAACAGGCTCTGTACAGTTAATTCTAGAGCAGTGGCCACATCAAAAATGGCAGGAGGGACAGAGAAACAGTCAAGAACCAAACCCCCACATGATTAACCACAAACAGGAGGTACACCACAATCATGAAGCCAGAAGAGGAACAGACCCCACACCAGGCACCCCAGACATGAGGGACCTGCATTGGAAAAACAAGTCCCCGTAATATTTGGCTCTGAAAACAAGTGGGGCTTAACTTTTGGAGTTTTTATAACTAGCAGAGCTTAAAACTGGGTACTTCAAAAATCAGTAGGTTGTACTCTGGAAGAGCTGGACGGCAATAGGAAACTGAGTCCCCATCCTTAAAAATAGAACATAACAAACAACCCTGCCAAAATATAGCAAAGCAGCAGCAATCTGAAAATTACTGGGGCATGCATGAAGTAGATTTCTTTACTAATCTCAGAATGCATGCTGCAAGGGCAAGGATTTTTAGGAGACTTATCCAAGAATATAAGAGCTGGCAGGTGACATTTCTCCTCCCTGCCAGCTTAGATAACCAGACAGCTTCAAGAATGAGCATGAGCACTCATTATCTAGCTTGCTAACACTGTATACCCTACCTGAAATTCTCCTATGGATCTGCCCCCATCATACCCACCCAACTGGGCAGAAGCCACTCCAAAGCAGTGACTGTCAAAACTCATTCTACAAGTAGCCCTGCTAGGAACCAGTAACATTCCCCACCTACCCTGCTAATACCACATGCCCTGCATTCTACAGCAGATCCATCCCATTCAACCTGCTCCACTGGGGAGGAATCCCTCCATCGCAGCTTCTGACAAGTATTATCCTGCAATCAACTACAACAGTGAAAAGCACCACTCCAAAGGGACTCCTGCTCTGGGGAGAGGGGAAAATAACCATATACACCAGTTCCACTGCAGCCCCAGCAGGGGACTAGGGACAGACATCTGATCAGACTGCCACCACCACCCACCAATAAAAACCTCACAGGGAACAGCACAAGGAAAAAGCCCTGTAGTTCAGGGCCACTGCAACCCTAACAGACTGGGGGCAGATATTTGGTCTCACTGAAGACCCCATTCACCAATGAAAACCTCTCAGGGAACAATGCAGGAAGAACGTCCTACAATTTGATGCTACCACAGCCCCAGCAAACCGGCTGATGGCAGGCATTTGGTCTGAACCAACTTAAAGCCCAAGGCAACCACAGATTGGCCCCTTAACAGCACAAGGACCACACCCTACCCAGAATAGAGAAAGGGGGCCTTTGTAGCCAACTGGACAGAAGACAAACAAGGCTCAGCCACAACAGGGTGCATGCTATACATAAAGGAAACAACTCTGTAGCGACAGGCTCTGGTGAAGAGGGAGCAGTGCTCTAAAACGCACCACAGGACGTCTTCTTTGTAAGGCCACTAATTTTAAATCAGAAGACATAAATGATTTTCCTACTATAGAGTAATAAACACAGAGATAAACAAAATGAGACAGAACAATAGGTCACAAATGAGAGAACAGGACAAAATCACAGCAAAAAAACTAAAGAAAAAGGAGATAAGCAATATGCCTAACAGAGAACTCAAAGTAATGATCATAAAGAACTTACTGGACTAGAGAAAAGAGTGGAGGATCTCAGTGAGGCTTTAACAAAGAGATAGAAAACATAAAAAAAAGACCCAGAGATGAAGACCTCAATAACTGAAATTAAAAATACACTAGATGAAATGAACAGTAAGAGGAAGCAGAAGAACAGATCAATGACCTGGAGGACAGAATAATGGAAAACAACCAGCTGAACAGCAGAAAGAAAAAGAATAAGAAAAATTGAGAATAGGTTAAAGGAACTCAGCAACATCATCAAGTGTAATAACATTCACATTATAGGAATCCAAGAAGAAGAGAGAGAAAAGGAGGCATAAAATTTATTTGAAGAAATAATAGCTGAAAATTTCCCTATCTGGGGAAGGAAACAGAAATCCAGATCCAAGGGGCAGAGAGAGCCCCCAACAAAATCAACCCAAGGAGGTTCACACCAAGACATATAATAATTAAAATGGAAAAAAAATATTGATAAAAAGAAAATTTCAAAAGCAACAAGAGAACAGAAGACAGGTACCCCATAAAGCCTCTTAGCTATTTTTTTAGCAGAAACTTTGCAGGCCAGAAGAGAAGGGCATGATCTGTTGAAAATGCTGAAAGGAAAAAAAACCTACAACCAAGAATACTGTATCCAACAAGGCTATCATTCACAATACAAGGGCTGATAAAGAGTTCCCAAATAAATGTTAAAAACGCTCATCACCACTAAACCAGTCATACAAGAAATGTTAAAACAGAGTCTGACTGGAAAGAAAATGTCATAAACAGAAGATAAATTTGAAAAGAGAAAATTTTCATATGCAAATACAAACATAATAAAAATTACCATATTTGGAGCACCTGGCTGGCTCAGTCAGAAGAGCATGCAACTTTTGATCTCTGAGTTGTGAGTTCAAGCCCCAAGTTGGGTGTAGAGAATAAATAAACTTTAAAATAAACAAATGTACATACTAGATTAATCATATATAACACAAGTACAGAGGTTAAAACACAAAAGCAGTAAAATCAATTATATCACTAAACATTAGCAAGTTATTAAAAAATAAAAGGATACAAAGTATGATATCATATACATAAAACATGGAGGGGGGTAAAGATGTTGTGCTTTTAGAATGGGTTCCAACTTAAGCAACCATCAACTGATGTAGATTTCTATATGCATAGGATATTATACATCAACCCAATGGTAACCAGAAATTAAAAACCTGTAACAGATATGCAAAAACATAAAAAGAAAGCAATTCAAGTATATCACTAAAGAAAGCTAGCACACCACAATGGAAGAGAGCAAGAAAAGAAAGAAACAGGGAAGAACTACCCAAACAACAATAAAACAAGTAACAAAATGTCAGTAAGTACATACCTATTGCTAATTACTTTGAATGTAAATGAACTAAAAACTCCAATCAAAAGACACAGGGTGACTGAGATAAAAGAGCAAAACCTATGTATAAGCTGCCTACAAGAGAATCACTTCACACCTAAAGACACATGCAAATTGAAAGCAAAGGATGGAAAATCATTTACCATGCAAATGAAGCAAAAAGAAAGCTGGGTAACAGTACTTAATAGCAGATAAAATAAACCTTAAACAAAGACTGGTAACAAGAGACAAGGACACTACCCAGTGATAAAGGGAACAATCCAACAAGAGAATATTAACAATTGTAAATATTTACACACCCAACATGGAAGCACCTAATACAAAAAAAAAACTATTAAGAGACAGTAAGGATTAAACTGACATTAATATAAACTGACATTAATATAATAATAGTAGGGGACTTTTAACACCTAACTTACATCGATGGATAAATCATCCAGACAGAATATCAACAAGAAAACAGTGGCTTTGAATGACACATTGGACTAAATGGATCTAACATATATATTCAGAGAACCCCATTCAAAAACAACAGAATACACATTGTTTCCAAGGGCACATGGGACGTTCTCCAGAATAGATTGTTAGGCTACAAATCAAGTCTCAGCAAATTCAAAAGGACTGAAATCATATCATGCATCTTCTTTGACCACAACAGTATGAATGTATAAATCGATCACAAGAAAAAATCTGGAAAGAACACAAATACATGGAGCCTAATGACACGCTTCTAAACAGCAAATGGGTCCAAAAATCTTTGAGATGCAGCAAAAGCTATTCTAAAAGGGAAGTTTATAGCAATATAGGTCCACCTCAAGAAGAAAAATCTCAAGTAAGCAACCTAACCTTACACCTAGAGGACCAAGAAAAAGAAAAACAAAGCCCCAAACCAGCAGAAGGAACAAAATAATATTAGAGCAGAAATAAATGAAACAGAGACTGAAAAAAACGTAAGAGAACAGATCAATGAACCAGGTACTATTTTTTTGAAAATATCAACAAAACTGATATACCTTTAGCCAGACTCATCCAGTAAGAGAGAGGACTCAAATACATAAAATGAGAAATGAAGAGGAGAAATACCCATTGAAACCACAGAAATACAAACAATAATAGAGATTTTGAAAAATTATATGCTAACAAATTGTTCAACCTCGAAGAAATGGATAAATTCCTAGGAACATAAAACCTTCCAATCTGAATCAGGAAGAAATACAAAATTTGAACAGACTGAATACTACCAATGAAATTGAATCAGTTCAATGAGATACCACCTCACACCAGTCAGAATGGCTAAAATTAACAAGTCAGGAAATGACAGATGTTGGCGAGGATGTGGAGAAAGGGGAACCCACCTACACTATTGGTGGGAATGCAAGCTGGTGCTCTGGAAAACAGTATGGAGG